GGACTGTGGCATCATTTAGAGTGTAATATTTTCACCAATGTTGGCACTACCATTAGGTGACGCCATTACCTCCTCATTATCTTCAACGTTCTATTGATCTATTGGATCAGATGACAACTCATCTCTCCCACTTATATCACGTTGCCTAGGTTTATTTGACACCATAGGATGTCTGCCCTAGCTTATGTCCCAAGAGTTAATAAGGTAGAATTGTGCCCACTCATTTCTTCCAACACAACCTTATTCTTGGGCTAATGATCATTAATATACTTATCCTCCAAAAAGGTTGCATTTGTTCTAACAAAAACCTTCCTATATAGAGGACTATAAAAATTATCTTTAGGTATCTTTAGGATATCCCACAAATAGACACATCTCTAATCTAGACTCCAATTTTCTGCCTTCTCTTTAAGTAAATGAGCTGGACCTCCAAATCCTGGTTGTGATGCAAGCAGGACTTGAAATATTCCAAAATTTCATGAAAGTCTTGAGAACAGACTTAGAAGGATCTAAGTCAAGAATATATCCAAATGTTTTCAGTGTATAACCCAAAATGAGATAGGTGCAGTTGTGAAACTCTTCATTGACCTAATCATATCTAACAATGTCGCGTTTCTTCTTTTTGAAACTCCATTCCATTTAGGTATACCAGACGTATTCAATTAAGAAACAGTACCATTTTCTGTTAAATTATCTCCAAATTCTCTCGAGAAGTATTCACCACCTTTCCGATTGAAGTATGTTAATACTCTTACCCAAATGTTTCTCGATTTTAGTCTTATACTCTTTTGATTTCTTAAAAATATATGACTTTCAAGCCATTAGGTGAATGTATTGAATCCAGAGTAATTATCTATAAAGAAACACTCATAGTTTCGCTTCTCAAGTATATTCACAAGTCCACACATAGTTTCAGTACATTTTTGGCTATATCCTTTTGTCGAAAAAAAGAATATCTTGGTCATATTGTCTTCTAAACAAAACTCACAAACTGTCAATGGTTTGATCTTAACTGAGCTGATGAACCATCTCTAGTCAATATTATATTCTGTTAGGTCGATTCGTCCAAGATGCCGTAGATATGTATCACTAGTGTGGTGCGACATTTTATGGTGTACAAGAGTTACATTTTTATTTCATATGTGGAATAGTTTAAAATATAAAGACCATTAATCAAATGTCCAGAACAAACATGAACTTTATTCATTAAAATGATAAGCATATTAGACACTGATTTTATAGAATAATTTTGTCCTGTTAAATTGAAAATAGAAAATAAATTTTTGCATCATTCGCGAGACATAATAATAGTCTTTAAGAATTAAACACCTACCACATTTGAAATAAAAACAATACTCCTGTAATCTTGCCAAAACTACTGATCTTATGCTAACGATAATTTTAAACTGACTTTTACTGAGTTTTTCGCTTTCTTGAAAATGCCCCTTGACATGCAGATATGATTAGTGGTTCCAAAATTTACAACTCATGAATTTGTAGTATCAATCACTAAATAATACTCAGTAACAAAAAACTTTACGCACACTTTGCTTTCTAGTTAGTGCATCTAGGCAATCTTTCTTAGTGTCATTTTTTACTGTAGTTGAAGTATCCTTGATAGATAGTTGCATCCAGACTCTCAGCCATGTTTGAAGTATGCAATCACAGTCAAATTATGAAACTTCACAAGTACTCTGGATTTCATGCGAATGTTATAGAAGGTACAAATGAATTCAGAAGAGCATTCCTACTTTGATGATCAAACATGTCCTAAAAGGTCTCTAATATATAATGGGAGGTACTATGACTTCCAAGTCTTTGTTGTAACACATTTGACATCGAAGTCAAAATGAAATAGCTAGACATTTGTTCTACATTCTTTTACTCAACATACTTAGCCTTTTGGACTTGTCACGTGGTCTTAGTAGATCCATCAAGATATTCGTTAAGAACAAAATTAAGTTTTTCCATAATGAGCATAAACTTTGAATTACATTTCAAATCCACACAATTTTTCCCGATTATTTAGCTTTGTTTTAGAATAACGGAAAAATTGGCCAAGTAATATTTCGTATAAAATAATCATACATTGCATATTAAAATTGAGCAGCAAATAATAATTTAGCATATGATGCATGAATGCACACGTAGATCCATCTAACTACAATAATACTACGATTATTTGATCATTGTAATCCAACAGGCATCTCTATAGAAAAGGTAATCGTGTCCATTGATCAAGTTGGAACCCTCCCACAAGACAAACCACATCTGACAACAAATGTTTGTATAAGTTCAATATCGATTTATTTGATCACTAAAATCATAAATGAGAGCCTCTATAGGAGGTTCGTAGATAATCTCGATTTGAGTATATAACCTTTGTCTAGATCTCTAGATAATTAAAAATAATTTTGTCATCTATAAGATGATCACAAATTATATTCTTATTTAGAAGATCTTAACATAAAGTTATTCAATCAAGCAACTTGAACTATGCAGCCCTTCTATAGGGAGCTTTTTGCATTACCGGCATGAGACAGGTGCGTTACTTTGCTTATGGATTAACCAAAGGAAACTATGGGTTTTTATTTAAATAAATAATCACTCCCACTTAATATTTTAAAGTAGTATATTTTAATTAAAATAATTACCAACTGTTTATTTAATACACAATATAATTATTACAAAAATTTTCCATCCAGAAAAATTTAAATAATTATAATAAGTTCTTATTAATCAAATTAATATACAGTCTAATTATTAAGACTTTTCAATCCAGAAAACTTTAATCTAAATTAAATTAATCAAGAAAAATTGAAATAATTATCAAATGTTCACATTAATCAAATTAATATACAGTTTAATTATTATGAATTTTCCTCCCAGAAAAATTTAATCTAAATTAAATTAATCAAAAAAAATCGGTGTTCAATGTTATACATACTATTTATTGTATCATGAGCGGTGTCATAAATAAATTCATGTGTCATTATATTAAGAATGATAATATTTTAATTAATAATTGAAAGCAACTCTTGTCTGCTTTGTAAACAGGTAGCACGCTGCTACCTACTTATGTCTGATAGCGTGAGTTGCATCCGCGCAACTACCTACTGGGCAATTTATTATTATTATTATTATTATTATTATTATTATTATTATTATTATTATTATTATGTAAATCCTTGAATCTTCGTTGTCATTGTCAATCTTCGATCAATTTACAAGATATAAAATTACTAGAATAACATAATTCCTAGGTCTCGTGGACTCACAATTTTGAATCTAATTGAATTGAAATTACATAAAGATGATGGGGTCGTAATCTACCTATCTTGTTACAGAGTCAAATTAACAAATTACAATCAAGAACTAGCCACAAATAATTGGTTCATAATTTAAAATAATTCAATCATCACATAGTAAAATATTCTTAGACATCGTTCGATTAGAACAGGCAATCAAGATTTAGAAATAACAAACACACGAATGATCTAGATTGCTCTGATACCAATTGTTGGAATACATAGCAAAATTATCCAGAAATTAAAAAAAAAAATTCAATGAACAAGATCATCTAGATGTTCACGTGTATATTATATTAAGAATAAAGGATTCGAAATTTTTACCTAAATTCTATGATCTATTCTTAAAATAATTTTGAATCACGAATTTCCAGATTTTTGGACTATAAACTTCTAGTTCTTTAATTTCGAGAACTTAATGCTTCAAACCTCTAAGTCTTCTATGATATTCTTCAAAGTCAAGAATACACTAGTGGGTGGGTACTTTCTTTTTCAATTAAACCAAAAACTAATTCTTGTACTGGACAATTGAATAAGATGAGAAAATACTTTTTTCTTTATATTTCTTCTCTAAATTTAAACACTATGTTGTTATGTATTATATTTGTTGTACAATCTCATAGGATGACTAGTTTTCATCCAATCTTTATTTATAGAGATAGAATAGTTACAATCATTGTATAACAATAATTCCACATTCAAATAAGAGTTCTAATTAAAATCAAGTAGGAATTTTAATTAAAGTCAAAATTCAATTAATTTACATTTAATTACATGTGCAATCCTAAAACTTCAATTACAATTATAATTAAGTACAAAACTTTATTGTAATTATAATTAAGTCCAAAACTATTATAATTATTGTAACTAAGTTCCAATACTTTATAGAGCTATCATAGGGACATAATCGGACATATATTATTCACGCTCCAATAATTAGATCATATCTAGTCGACCTTAGATCACTCAATCTAATTATTAGTCCTAACTTTTCCACTAAAAGCAAAAGACTGAATTCTTTGAATATATAAAATCACAAAAAGCCAATAAATCCGTAATACCTTCCTTTGAATTGTCGTATATGTATTTTATTCCCGTTCGATATATGATAATTAGGTACTATCACTAAATACTAAGATCAGATTTTAATCATTCAATAAAAAATGTTTAAGTAGCCACTCTACCCATTTTTCGAGGTGAGAATTCCTGTCATGAATTCATATTCTCTATTCCACTCATTCTCAACTTTCCAACTGATCGAGATATTGGACCAACCAAAATGATCTCACCTATTGATGAATCAAAAAATCATTAAAAAAAAAAAAACACATAATCCTGTCAAGGAATTTGGATAAAATACACAGCAATCTAGTGAAATTTAATTTACCGCACGATCATGCTATAGAATTAAACTCGACATGCGGTCTGTTCAATGCACTTTAAATGTATTAGCGTCGCCTTTAACTATTTCTGTTATAAGGACAGATCATAAACTTGAATAGTGAATTGATCAACGCTACAAGCTTCCAATACAAGATGCCAATCCATATACATTAGTTGTGAACAAATTATTTATGATCAAAATATAATTTGTCTCACACTGTACTTCTCGTTGCAAATACCCAACTTATATTGTTTGAAATAATTATAAATACTTTAATTCGCATGCTCAATAATAAATAATGCAATAAATAAATAAAACCACAATTTATTTATTATAAATAAGTATTTAAACATAACAAAATATACTATATGAGCACACAACACAACATAACTATAATACTCCTCTATTCACCCATCTGATTCCATAACATTTAAGGCGGCAAAAAATATTCCATCTAAATGAAAGCAATACAAATAAATAAAACTTCTTCCAAACAACTGCATGCAATGTAAAGCAAAAAGCACAGGGTTTACGTCGAACAGCAACCACCTCTCTTCGTAGCAGATACATCTTTGTTCACATCGATTTTCTCACCCTTTGAAGGGACATTCGATACAGCTCCATTCTCTCCTGTCTCCATTGCCTTCTTGCTCACAATACGGTATATCTGAGTAAGAACCTCAAAAAAAGCATTTTCCACATTAGTAGCTTCGAGTGCAGAAGTTTCCATGAAGTAGAGTGACTCCTTCTCAGCAAAAGACTTTCCATCCTCAGTCGAGACTGCCACTAGATGTCGGAGATCAGACTTGTTCCCAACGAGCATGACAACTATATTGGGATCCGTGTGATCCCTCAACTCTCTTAACCAACTTTCAACATTTTCAAATGTCGGGTGCATCGTCACATCGTAAACAAGCAAAGCACCCACTGCACCGCGGTAGTAGGCGCTGGTAATTGCACGGTACCTAGAGACCAAAAGGGATAGTGAGCTATTAAAGATTGTAGAAATAAACTTGTGAAGGAAAATTCAGCAAGGCCTCAGTGTATATCACCAAAATAACTACAAAACAAACACCCAAACATCTCTTCCATAAAAAAAGAAAAAAAAAAAAAAAACATTTTTTTCCCAAAACAGAATACTTATCTAATCTTCGAGCCTTCAACTATTTTAAACTAGAAACGCAAGCCAGAATGCACGTGTGATGGCTGTGACAGGATTGTAGTTGTGTGCTCCTATTAATTACACATACGAGGTTAATGACACGCTAATGATAGTAAAGTTTTGAAACAGCAAATTTAAAAAATCAAAGGCAGCCCCATCATTTCTCTGGCTTGTCATCGCCATTTCTGGTGAACAACTACAGCGATATGTGAAGACAAGATGATGTCGTAATTTACAGATAGCACATTGAGGTCTAAAAGGTCCACTGGACCTTAGTCACATAGCACAAAGCCTAAGGTACACTTTTATCCATAAGCACTTGCTGGTGAAGGCAATCTTACTAAAGTTTGCCTTCAAATCATCATCACCAATTGGTGGATGAAATTGCAATTGAGAGATCTTATGCTATTACATATTCTCCCATGTATCCTCCGAATGTTGAGGTTACTAAAACATAATTCTCTCAAGAAAAGATTTCAGAACAATTACAAATGAATTGGAAGACTCTGGGGATTTATTGCTTAAATGCTTTCTTAAGGAACAGAATGATTTCCTACAGAAACCTCTAATATATCCAAGGATTCCATTCTGGCAAAAAAACCTCTAATCTATCCACAGAACCTCGGTTGGAAAGTCTCTTAATTATCCTAGAAAACTCCTTGTTGGTCAAAGATTTTAAAGTAGCCTACTTAAGAGTCATAGCTATTAAATACCCTAATATAGTATGACAAGTCTTTTAGGTCCATAATCCATATGTACCTATCTGTTCATTCCCATAGAGTTGATCAGTACGAGAAGTTGATATTCTGTTGTATGAATTTGCCTAACTCTTTTCCGGATGAAGCACTTCTCTCACCCTTTCTTCTTCCCTTATTTCAGTAAAATGATTCCAATATATATCAGAATCATGGACAGGGTACCATACTAACAACCTGCCAAATTTATTATAGAAATTTTTTGATCAAGAATTAAACCATCCAAACTAAACATCTTCTCGGTTGTTCTTCTAGAACACAATTCTAGAGGATTGATGATATTTGAAGAACATCTTTTTATCTCAGAAAGTCAAGAATAAACATTACCAAATTGACTAGGACTCGATCTACACCAAGTGCAACCGTCGAATCCTTTTCTTTGATGCTTTATGAGCGTTTATTCTAAAGCTATCCTTCATCACTCTTGTGGACTCCCCGACTCCCAAACTACAAGTTTGGAAATAAGGTTAAGCCAACCTATCACAATCCATTTCCACAGGCCATCTTTCTCTCCCTCCAAACCTTGTTAATAACAATAATCTATGTTGCTCGGACTCGAGTACGGGTACATATTTAAGTGTTGGATCTTTTATTTTTTTTTAAATGTAGGATATGGGGACATCGCTAAAAAAAGTCCAAATTTTGGACATGAGTACATTTCAATTTTTTTACTAACCCAAGATGTTATATTGAATAAACCAAAATCAATTATTTACAAAGAAGGAAATGAATATTTAATAAGGGGTTAAAACGAATAAAATAGAATTTTGGGGTTTAGTTTTGAATTATAGTAAGTTAATTACTAAATGTTATATAAAATAGAAAATAAAGGACTTAATTGTAATTTGGACTTAGTGGACCACTAGGTAGCATTATATGGAACCCTTTCATTTTATACAAACTAAACCCTGAACTATCGATACAAAGAGGGAAAAAAGGAAAAAAATAAGAAAAGGGAAAGAAAAAAGGAGGAGGAAGAAGAAGTAGGGAAAACTTAGCGTTGTTGCTCTTTTCCACCCTCTCGGAGGTGGCACTAAATTTATAAAGAGCAAAAATAGGAAAGAAAAGGAAAAGGAAAAAAGGAAGAAAGAAGAAATAAAAATGGCGAAGTATCCGATTGAATCTTGGAGGATCAGACACATATCTCATACCCATACCCATGTTGTATCGTGTCCGACAGGGGTACTCCTACCATTTCAAAGAGTCCAAGCATCAGAGACAGTAATAATCAACAGGTATATTCTAGGAAGTTCATAGAAAGTGAAAGAAAAGGTTGAACCCCAATCTAGAGGGCTCGTACTGCCCCTAGAGATTTGTGAGGGAGATAAATATTGGGATGTGCCCTAGTAGGTCAAGAAATAAGAGCTGTCTATACACTTCGCCTACAAGGAGTCCAATTTCATATCTCAGTAATCGAACCCTTACACTGCGGCTGCTAGGCGTTCATAGAAAGTGAAAGTAGTGCAGATACATGGTAGTCAAATAGTTTCGCTTCTTTCATGCAATAACTCCCATATGCTAAGACAAAATTTAAAAAAATAGTTTTTATTAAACTATATATGCACATCAAATATTAAATATGTATGTCAGTGAATATATTAGTTAAAACTAGTCATTAATTTAAAGGAAGATCTCTGTATTTGGATTCGATGCCTAGATACATCATGTTCAGTATATACTTGCTGAAAATTCCAGTGTTTATTTTTAAATTGCAGAAAACAATTACATTCAAACTGTTTACGTAACAGTGGCGGCAAACACTAGGAGTGACTGCATAAACCCAAGATTATTGAATGGACAAAGTATGATCCACCATCTAAATCAAGTTCTAACTTCTTTATCAGTACCCTACCCCGTATCAAGAACCATTTCCAGATTATAGCTGCACGTTCTTTCTCTCTCAAATCAGATCTCTTCAAATTATGCCACGTCCTCTGCAACTCAATTTCAATCTTTACATAAAAGAAGCATCCAGCAGCATTAAAGTACACTAAATTCACGTTTAACGCATAAATTCGAGGCGCATACACAAAACCCATGTCTGATTTTAGCAATTCTCGAAAACAAAGATCTCCGCTATCTAGTTAATCATAACAACGCTAAGAAACTAAACAATGTAGGTAAATAAAGATGCAAAAGGGCAGATCAGAACATTTTCAATAATTACTAAGGTTACCTTTCTTGGCCAGCAGTGTCCCAAATCTGAGCCTTGATGACCTTTCCATCGACGTTCAAGCTTCTGGTTGCAAACTCAACACCAATGGTGGATTTGGACTCAAGACTGAACTCATCCCTAGTGAATCTTGAAAGCAAGTTGGACTTGCCAACACCAGAATCCCCTATAAGAACCACCTTGAAGAGGTAATCATAGTCATCTTCTGCTCTGTACCCTGACATCTCTCTTTTCAAATTTGAAGACAGATTGAACTTTTTCTTTCTGAAGATGTAAACAGGAAAATGATTAGTGTACACAGGACCACTAACAACACTCACAATGGGTTCCACACGGGACCCACTTGTATTAAAAAAAAATTCCATCTGCCCGACGCATGTCAGTGTTCGGTACTCCATACCTATACGTGTATCACAACTGACCTTTTACTGCTAGAGGGTTAATGATTTTTATTTCTTTTCGCTTTTTGAGTGGATTCTTGCGCGTGGGTGGCTGCGTGCCTGCGTGGTGGGTCTATTTTGACACCGGGGAAACAGAACAGGCTGTGGCACGCAAACAGGCTAAGGATAAATATAGGAAAATGATACAAAAAGCACTAATCTTGGGTCACAGATTAAAAATGACGAAAACCCAAAGCCTCAAACAAAATATTGTGCTCCACGAAATTATATTTTACATTTTTAGATGGGACAAATTAGGCCAGTACATATGAAATAAAGCAGAAACCTAGAATGGTTATTCAAAGACTGGAAATATAATGAAACTACATTTCGTGTATGTTGTCATACTTCGCATTATAATGCAATGAATATAATATTTTTCCAGCTCGTGATAGATTTTAGAAGGTAATGTTCTTTACACAATAGAAAATAACGTTTTTATATTTTTAAAAGTGCTCAACGTCAATAATTATAACAAAATATTATAAAAGACAACTTCTGCAGCTGAGGGAAAAATAAAAAACACAAAAAAAAAAAAAAAAAAAGTTTGGATGTGGCGAAAAAACGATGACGTTTTATGTAAACATTAATAACAATTTAAAAGCGTGTTATTTTTGTCATTTTGTTAATCGACTTAATATTGTTTAAATGATGTGGATCAACTGGAGGAGAAAATTCTAAATCAATTAAAAAGAGAATAAATAAGAATGATCTATGAAACGCGTATAACTTTCCACACGAGTGTTGAATTTTTGTCCACAAATACAATTTTGAAGCTTTTTTCGATTTTGCACAATTTTATCGGGTGACAATTGGCCTTTGGTCAACATTGTCAGATTTGCGAGTCAAATTACGTCGTTTAGGGGTTCGTTTTGGTGTTCTTCTGTTTTGAGTTAGAATATTTTCTTCATTTTAGTAGTTGTTAGTTTTATTTGAATTTATCTACATAATTAAGATTTCATTTTGATTAGGTTTTATTTAGTCTCTAAATATGTGTTTAGGAGTCAATTACACATTTGTTTTTCTTGATTAATAATATTTCAGTTTTCCCGTTAATTAGTGGATTAGAATATTTCTCACTTTCATTCGAGCGAAATTCAAAAAATATCCATTCGTGCATTATGAATAAGAACATATTATTATCATTCATGTTTCCGTCCTGCACCATTATAGGGTAATTATATTCATATCATAGTTATTTATCAATTGTATTATACTTCAATTGCAATGAAAGTCCTTAACATATGCTTATTTTTTTACTTATGACCTCAACTTTTTTTAGTTTGTATTTTTAACTTGAATCTTCAATTAAATTAATTAGTACATCTTTTATTTGATACTAATCTATGTCCAAATATTATGCTAATATACGTAGACATGAGAAGAAATATTTTGCTAAACTTTTGTATTTATTGTTCACTTCATTTATAAATATGAGCGGCGAATAAGCCTTTTTTAACGTCTTCCTAAAAATTTATCTGGAAATCATCATAATAAAAAAAAAATGAAAATTAATAAAAGATAGATAGTAGGAATTTGACGAAAAAGTTGGAAACATAAATACTAATATGAACAAAGATTACGGATAATTGTTACCGTTAAAATTTTATGCGAATAACAAAAATTATAATGTTAACATGTTTACTTGTTTAATATTGTGGAATAACATACAAATATCGTTATGGCAATACAGTCATCCAAAATAAAATAAAAATCAAGCTTTGGCTCAACTTAACATTTTGACGAAACTTCAGTTAAGTTAAATTGTAAAATAATATATAATTCTTGCATTTTGCCCTCTTGCTAAGAAAGCATTTATTTTTCAACCCATATTTACATTTCTCAATAGACTTTAATTGGTACACACAAGAAATAGGTCTACTCGACGATATTTTGTTCAATAAGCTACTGAAACTGAAAAAGGAAGCTATAGCAACGGAGGCTCGTGTAGCACGACAAAGTAAAACCTCAAGCCCCCTCAAACTGAACTATAGCCAGTAAGCCCTCGAAGATTTTTAGTACTATTTGAGCTAATCCCCCTTTTTAATGAGGAAATTATAGGAAATGACCGGATAACCCGATGCTATTTCCAAAGTAACCTTTGACCCTTTTTTTAATTAAAAAAAATTAAATTTAAAGCTTAAAATCCCAAAATACCCCTCGACTCTCACAAAACTGAAAAAGCCAAGGACAGTGACTGGTCGGAGAACAACCTATCAATCGCCGGTGAACAGTCTTGTTAAGGTAACCTTTATTTGGTTGGATTAGTGTTTAGATTTTGGTTAAATGTGTGAATGATTTATTTGTTGAAGATTTTTTCAATATTTTTTTATTTATATTAGTAAAATATGGTTTATATAGTGTAAAAAAAGATTGGTTGTTTGAATTTGGAAGCTTTTCTCGTCGGAAATGGTGATTTTCCGATAAGAAAGCGTGAAGGTCGGCTGCAACCCGACCGTTAACAGTCGGCCAAAGGTTACTTTTTTTTTTTTTTGCCCAATATTTTTTTTCACAAATAATTTAATAATTTAATTTTAAATAATTTTTATTATTTGGTTTTAATAAATAATAAATTATTTAGTTTGTCAAATTTAAATAAAGTTGTTACGACTACATTTAAATAAAAATTTTACATTTAATTTTTGTTTTAATATTTATTTTTATTTTTTCATTTTTGGTAAATAATAATTTGAAATAATTGTTGGAAATTTTTAATTGTAATTTGAAATAATTGTTGGAAATTTTATTTGAAATTTAATATTTATTTTTATTTTTATTATTAGTTTTTGATAAATAATATTAACTTCATTCATCGAATTTAAATATTTTTTGAACTTGAATTGATTAAAAAAATTGTGATAATTGGGAAAAATTGACATTATTGATAATAGGATAAAAAATTCACATTATTGATGATTTTAATTATTATGAATCTGCGTTTTGCGTATTGTAGTTACAATTTCGTTTGCTAAATTTTTCTGTTATTACTATTATGACTAGTACAATGTTCTAACATTTTGAATTTGTACAGGATGGATTATCATCTTGACGCAGATTTGAGACAGATGTCAAGCAAAGTTACGTGGAATAGTAGCTTTGATAGTTTCACAGCTGTGTTAGAGCTGCTTAATGATCAGCATGCTAATATGCTGCGTCAGTCCTTCCTGTGACCTTTGTACCCGTTGAGAGATCTGCAGTACTCGGGTTAGATTATTAATGCACTTCTATGTCGATTGCTGAGTCCAGTCGACAGCGATGCCCTCTACTTCGTAATCGGGGGTAAAATCGCCAGTTTTTCGATGTTCGAGTTTGCTCTGATCACGGGATTCAAGATTACGGGCGATGAAGCAGCTAGCGACGGGACTCAGAGAAGAAATAAGCTTCATGACGCTTACTTCGAGGGACATGGTACTGTACTTCTTACACAGCTATTGGATGCAATCACAAGGTGTGATCAGATGTTAGACAGACTGAAGTTAGGTCTAGTCTACATCCTTGAGAGCGTGGTGCGGTGTCACCATAAGAAGACTGCAATCGACCTCTTCCATCTGGAGATCGTTGACGACATCGATCGTTTCAACGACTATCTGTGGGGTCGGAGATGTTTTGAGGACACTGTATATGTCTTCACCAGATCGCACTCGAAGCCGAAAGGAGCCATACGTGAGTACGACATCTATGGATTGCCCCTGGCGGTGCAAGTAAATGGTTAACATAATGAATATTAAAATTATTTTCATATTGAATTTATATATAATAACTGTATGTGTTGCAAATCTGGGCGTATGAGGTTGTTCCCATATTGGGTGCCCGCTTTGCGAGACAAGGAGAAACATGCTGCCCTCGGATGCACCATTCGAGAGCATCTCGATTGGAGGGATGTTCCACTGGGAAACAGTTATCGGCTATCCTGGACGACCATCAGTGACTATTATGCATTTATAATTTATATTGTGCGTGATTTAACATCTGATTGCATAATCGTTAACTAGTTTAAATGTTAATAAGTCAGCTTGAAATCATAACTGAGTTGACGCCGTCGATGGAGGAGGAGGCTTAGAGTCTTGTGTGTGAATTATGCGTTACGCACACCGAAGACTACCATATGTCCGATTCGATCCACGATCGAGATTGAGTGAGCGAATTGAATAAAATCTATTGATTATCTTTTTATATGAGTTAGCATTTACAGATTAAGTTAATAATTTGTAATGTTGTTGTTTGTGTAAGAGCGTGATCCAATTGATCGACGATCACCTCCGTCAAGAGCATCACCACCTCCACCGAGGGCATCTCCTCTTCCGCCAGAGATGCCATCGACAGTATCTCCTCCGCCTCCCCTGTCCAGAGACCTCTCATGTGGATCTCCTGCACGTAGTCAGGGGCATTATTTTGACGATCTGTACGCCCGTCTGAGAAGATTTATAGAGGGGCAGGTTGACGGGCTGCATCGAGAGATGATAGAAAGGGTTGATGATCTCGGACAACAGTTGGTAGGAAGGGTCGAAGGTTTGTTGAATGAAATTGCAACACTTCGGGGTGATATAACCGGTAGGTGATGGGTTGACAGAGGGGGTGATCGAGAGTGTGATAGGGATGGGGGTCTCCGGCAGTCATACATACATGATAATGATGCATGGGAATCGTTTATTTTATACGTGGAGCGCGATGGGACGAGAGTAGTGACAGATGAGGAGGGCCCGTCGGGGAGGGAGACAGTGGTAGATGAGGGAGTGGCCCCGTCGGGAACGGAGACGGTGGTAGATGTGGGAGTGGTAGATGAGGGAGTGGCCTCGTCGGAGACCGTGGCAGATGAGGGGATGAGGGAGGTGGCGAGCCCTGGGGTG